GAGGACGCCCCGGAGAAGACACCGGACACGCTGGAGGGACTATGTCTCTCGGCTGGCCTGGGAACGCCTCAGCATTCCCGCGGAGGAGCTGGAGGAAGTGTCTGGAGAGAGGGAAGTCTGGGCATCTTTGCTTAGACTGCAACCCCCACAACCCGGTCCCAGATAAGCGGAGGAAAATGGATGGATGGATGCATCAAGAAGTCACCAAACTTATGTTATGTTTTTACTGGTCAGCTAGAGTGCAGTTTATTGAACCTTTTAATCTGAAAACAGCTACCTTCTGTTGCTGGAAATGATTGAGCAGAATCTGTGGGCTGCCAAAGCACAACACTGAGCTAAAATAACTAAAAAGCTCCAAAGAGCTCAGGGAAACTAGAGTTGGTTGTAATCTTCTGTGAGTTTGTTAGTTTGTAAAGTGATTACAGCTTTAATTTCCATTAATGTGATCATTCTAAACCTCTAAATCCAACTAGAACATTCAACATTGGTACACGAAAAGATCTCTCCACCTGGTGACTTCCCACACGAGCACACAGCTGCTGTCACCGTGCGGATGCCCCACCTGCCCATCACCGCGACAACAAAGACAGCTGAAATCAAGGGCTCTCCCGACTCTCCCAGCAGTCCGCTCGGTTCTCGGTCCTTTCCTGTTTCTGAGGACTCACCTCCTGGTCAATCAGCCACTAGCACCAACCAGTCTCAACCAACAGAGGAGCCTCCAGTTCAACCAGGTAGCTGACTGTGTCGCTTTGTCCAGTCTGTCTGGGTGCTTTTTCCTGAATGCAAAAGGAATGCAGAATAATTAAGTTGTTTTGGAAAATCTTAGTTTCTTATTTCACAATTTCCTTTTTTCTTGTTGTGGTTAGTATCTTCTGTGAAGACATGGACCCCTACACCTATCAGAGCCCTGGGATCCCCTCGCCTTCTTGGTGAAACACACAGACATACGTACATCTTGATATCCTAATTGAGACTGCAGTGTTGTGGATATGATTTACTCTGAGTGTTTGTCTTTTGCAGAGAAGGCAAATTTAGTTCCTACTAAGTCTGTGACCTACTCTGGGCTACAGCAGCATGACAGGTGAGTGTAACGTGATTGAGAATGACATCATATAGGACAGGCCAGATATGTTTTCTTATGTTTTTTTTTTCTGTGCTCCCATCCCGCAGAGATGCTGATGTAAACAGCGGCAGGTCTTTTGGGCAGATAGGAGAGAGAAAGCGAGAATTACAGAGGTCACAGACCCTGCCTCGTAACATTGGTGCTCAGGCTCGTCGATCGATCTTTGAAAGACTGGACTCTGAAGCAAGTAACAGGTAAATGCAGTTAATGCTGTGTTTAGATCACTATAGATACAACTGCATCTATGTTGCCTCTCTTCCAACCCCTTCTCTTTCTGTCCAGCCTTCCCAAAACAGTGGACTCTAAACCCAAACTGAAGCGATCTCAGAGTTTTGGGGTGTCCAGCGCCAGTAGCATCAAACAAGTCCTTCTTGAGTGGTGCCGTTCCAAGACCATAGGCTACCAGGTAAAATACCCAGTTGTATTTACATTAATTTCAGAGCCAATCCCAGGCAACAGTGGCTGAGGGGTGGGTACACCCTGGACAGTTTACCACAGGGCTTACACATAGACACAGACAACCACTCACACATACCTTCACCCCTATGGGTAATTTAGAATTGCCAGTAGTCTAATCTGCATGCCTTTGAACTGTGAATAAGCTGGAGTACCCAGAGAAGACCCACACAGGCAAACTCCACACAGACAGTGATGGAAATGATCATAGCTTCTGCTGACCTTTCATAAAGCTGTACCCTGCCAGCACACAGCACTGTGTGCATGTGTGTTATGGACTTGAGCAGGGTGAAGATGTTTAGATCATGGCTGAGTACACCGTCACGCTGCTGCACTCCAGTTTCCTTTTCTTCACCGCAGCTTGTGCCAACTTCTCCATGTGGTGCTGGTTATAGTCAAACCAGGCAAGGCCAGGACTCTTATAAGCCGGGAGCAAACATTCATGTACAAACACATGAGAGAGAGATGTTCATCTGATGACTCTACATGCTGCATTTCACTCATTCAGAAACCAGACTAATAATGACCATCTTTGAAATTGTTTGATTTCACAAGCATGTAATAGACCAAAAGCAGGAGAGGAGGGGAAAATCTGTTTTATCCATCATAATTATAGGCTAGACAGTGAGTGAAGAGATTCTTTTATGAAGCTACAATGAGCTGACAATCAAGTTCTTTTACCTCCATCTTTCTTTCAGCTCGTACTACTTTCCCCCAGGCACTCAGAGGCCTGAAATGACACATTACCACTCACTGAAACACACATGTGCCACATCATCACCAAATCTTTATTTTTGTTTCTCTGCAGAACATCGACATCCAGAACTTCTCCTCTAGTTGGAGCGATGGGATGGCCTTCTGTGCTCTAGTCCACTCCTTCTTCCCCACTGAGTTTGACTACACCTCCCTCTCGCCAGAAAATCGCAAACACAACTTTGAGTTGGCCTTTGGAACCGCAGAGTGAGTGACAGTACCATCAAAATATAAAAGCAATGTAGATTTTTAGAAGTGGCCAGTTTTCCCAAGATGATAAATTTCTTAGTTGGGAATCAGTTGTGGTTTCAGGAATTTGTTGAATTGACTTGAAAGTCTTTACTGTGGCTGAATGCCTCTCGATTTTTCTTTGATGCTTTTACTTTATAGGCCTCTGAAATTACTGTTTTGCATGAGAGAGCAAAATACACACATTTATATTCCTGCCTATCCTTTGTCACCATGCTTTCTTATTGTGTTCAGTGAAAGGTGTGCATTCCTTTAGCCTGACTACATCATGTCACAGAGCATGATTTATTGTCTTCTCAAACCTCCTGCATACTAGAAATGTGATATGACACAGGCCTACAGCCTGGATATGCACATACTACATTTCAGGGCTTCAAGTTACCACTTGATTTAGTCATGTGTTTTTCTTTGACTGATAACACTGCTGCCAAATTTGACTGAGAAACTTGGTCACAGAATCAGTTCTTCATATACAGCGGCAGGTGTAACACAGCACATATGAATGATTAAATACAAAGTCATTATTTACCTCCTCAAAGCATATTTGTTAGAAAGTAAAGGATCACAGTCAGTATTTTAAGCAGAACTATTTTGTAGACCACTTAATAGAGCAAAAAAAAAAAAAAACAGTTTCAGGTTTTTTTTTTAGCCTGACAGCAGTTTTAACTTTTCAAAATGCCAAATCCTGTTTTGGGTGAGTTCTGTTTGAAACATGTTCATGCATCTGAAAACCTTTCTTACTGACCTATGTGTTTCTGTGTGTTTCCAGGGTGAAGGCAGGCTGCGATCGGTTGATCGAGGTGGATGACATGATGATCATGGGTCGTAAACCAGACCCTATGTGTGTCTTCACTTACGTCCAGTCCCTCTACAACCACCTGCGCAAGTTTGAGTGAAACACAAACACTGCAGATCTAAATTTCTGCACCATTATAGACTCTTAGGCTCAGGCTTTTTCACCATGAGATATTCAGCGGTAGGATGCTCTTCATCCTCTGTACCCAACTTTGAGGTCAAGAGCTGGCCTGAGAACATTTTAACAAGACAATGCTGCCCCCAGGTGGTGGGCCACATGCTGCAGGACAAGTGCTCACAGCTCAGATGCTGACTCATGAAGAGGACACTTTATGTGTGTGTACAATCCCATGTTGTTAACACCAGTGAAGAAAATGGATTTACACACTAATGCAACTGTTTTTTCTGTGTGTGTGTGTGTGTGTGTGTGTGTGTGTGTGGTTGCAATACTGAGATATTGTGCAGAGAGTGCAACTAACACTGTGCTGTATAACACCACACATATATAAAAGTGAGTGTCTATATTGCGCAAATGGAAAAGAGGTACATTTCACAAATGTCACTGAAAACCTCGACTGTAGGCATTAGTTTGTGATGAAGCAAAACACACTGTGGGGAAAAATAAATGACAAAATATATATATGTATATAGGAAATGAATCAATGTGACGTGTAAAATGAAACGTTTTGCTGAGTGATCTTTGCATTCACATGTGCTGTGATATCGTGTTACAGAGATGATATTAAGATTTGAGAAATGAAATCAATAAACTGTACTGTTTGCACATAAATATAGGCATTGTAGTTCTTACAGATTATCAGTTATTCTGCATGATCTGTGCCTATACGCACAACGTCATATCCATGAAAACAGCTCTGCCCAGTCCTCTGTGTAACCGGGGATTAGAGGCAGAGGTGGGAAACACCTGGATTTACTGGGTGACGGGTGTCGGGGGTGTCCCATCTTATCCACGTATAAGAAGAGGTCAGCTGTCAGCAGCGGTAGACGTGCGTGTCTCTGTGTGGAGTCATGGCTCTGTTCGTGGACTCGGACTTCTCTTTACTCAAGCAAAACCAGCAGAAAGACTTGGGGGATTTTAAGGCGCTATTTGGGGAAGGCGATAACTGTCAAGGTGAGTTAGAAATGAGTCTTATTTATGCGATTGATCGATTTAAATATTTGTTTCTACATCAGTCAAGAAACCAGGAGAAGTGTAAATTTGTCATTGATCACGATGAAGCTCTTTTTCATGACAATAATTTCCTCTTGGGGCCTAAATTTGATCAGTGGGCCTTTGGCCTTTTTTTTTTTATCAATAAAGAGTGGTCAGCCAAAAAAAGAACAACGGAAATTAAAACGGCAGAATGATCTATAACGATAACAACAACAACAACAATACCGTTAAACAAGCGCGTGAGTTGTAGGTAATATGACCCGGTGTACACAAAATAGTCCTAATTATTTTAGAATATAAAATTAATCTAAATTGCTCTAAAATGCATTCGTACACATTTAAAAAGCCATTTCAGTTTAACGGTCTCCAAAATGTTGACTAAAACACAGTTTCATAAATGCTTTAAAACATTTTCTTCTTGGCAAACGACCGTCCATTTCGTTCCCTCTCTCTTATATTTTAATGTACTGCCGGCTATTTGATTTCATTGTATCTGTTTCATGTCCTTCCATCCCTGTCCATTAAGATGTCCTTAGTGGGAGCGCAGTGTCTTCTCCGGACAGAGCCGCTGGTTTGATGGACGGTCAGAGGAAAAGGAAGAGGACCATCTTCAGCCGAGCCCAGCTGTCGGAGCTGGAGCAGGCCTTTGCTGTTACCCCGTACCCGGACATCACCCTGAGGGAGAGACTGGCCGCGCACACGCACCTGCCAGAGAGCAAGATACAGGTCAGTGCTGCTCAGGGCGCGTGCACACACGTTTTCTGTTTCTGTAGCCCCCAGCTACAGGTACGTTATTGCAGATTTAAAAATATATATTTGCTGTTTTTGGTGATCAAAACTACAAAACATAAGAATGGTTTCTGCTACATTCAAAGTGGTCGTCCTGCACAGAGGTGTGGTGACGACCAGACATACAATAAAAAAAGTCCTGCCATCTTCCACAGGTGTGGTTCCAAAACAGAAGAGCCAGAAGTATAAAGAATGGTAGCCTCCTTAAGTCCACAAAGCCTGTCCTAGGAGCTAAAGGGGCTGTGGAGCCCTCTCCTGGACTCATGACCTCCACTTTCCCCACCCCAACCACCCTGGAAGACATATTCAGAAAAGAGCTGAACTACCACTGTGAGGATGCTACACAAAATTACTCAGACTGGATCCAAATCTACAGCAACCCAGCATCATCACCTGTAGCATCTTCCTCATTGCTCCACCAGCAGCCAACACTGGGCTTCTCAAAACCTTCAGAGCCCTCCTTCTGGGAGCAGAACCACCATCAGCAGCAGCAGCATTTGGGATCAGCACTCCCCAGTTTTCTTCCCGGTTCACTTTCTCAGCCCATTACCAGGCAGCCTCCCCACCCTGCTTCATCCTGCTCATACCAGGCCTTTAGGAACTTCAAACCCCAGAGCTTGACTCCAACCAGGACTCATCAAGCTGTGTACGGAGGCAGTGCTGCAGGTGGAGGTCAAGGCTCTGTGGACCAGGTAGTCCCTTCCCACCCTCAGCCAGTGCATTGGGAGGTAACTCAGGGCCAAGGACATCACCAATATCATTACCGCCACCACCCACAAATGGGACCTCAAACCTCCATGGGATATATCTCAGACCTGATCTACAACGCAGCTATTGTCACCAACTTCCTGGAATTCTCATGACTCTGAATGTAAAGGATTAGCTGTTAAAAGTGTTAAAAGTGGATACTGTTGCAGCTCCCATTTCTGTCACATTTCACTTTCTGGGTCTAAATCTGATCTTAGTCATTCAGGAGCTGATTGTACCTCAAAACAAACATCTAATGTACTGAGTTGTAGAGTTTTGTTGTTGGATTATCCTTTTTATGTTTTGTGTTTTTGTAGCATATTACCTTACAGACAGGTAAGGTAATCAATATAATTTGTTACTTATTAGTTTCTTTGTAAAGTAGATTTGTTTTATTGTAATTGTTTGACTGAATGATCTTGTGAATGCTGCCATCATGGCCAGGGCACCAAGGAAGAAGAGCTTAATAACCTCAGCGGGACTGCCCTTGGATAAATATTGGTTAAATAAAAAAATTTAAATGATTATTTTTGGCTAACTATTTCAACTGTTTATCTATTACTTTTATCTACATTTAACTTTTACTTTTAGCTAATTGTTTATTGTTCTCTTTCCTGGGTACAAGTACTGTACATGGTTGTTAATCACTGGACTAGCAGTATAAAGTGGTATGTAAAAGTACCTCAGAATTATTGTTAAACACATTCTTAAGTAAATACTTACTTTCAAGTATATACATTTGTTTCCCTTGTTGTTGCCTAGAGGCAACAACAGTGTCTGAGTGATAATTTTTTGACGACCCTCAATATTATTAAACATAACTCAAGCATCCATCCATCCATTATCTGTACTGCTTATTCCTAAATAGGGTCACAGGGGGCTGGAGCCAATCCCAGTTGACACTGGGTGAGAGGCGGGATCCACCCTGGACAGGTCACCAGTCTATCACAGGGCTGACGTGTAGACACACAACCACAAACACTCACATTCACTCAGCCAATCCCAGTTGACACTGGGTGAGAGGCGGGATCCACCCTGGACAGGTCACCAAGGAAGCTGGAGTACCTGGAGAGAACCCACACAGGCACATGCAAACTCCGCACAGAAAGCACTCGAGGCGGCCCAGGCTCGAACCCAGACAGCGCTAACCACTGCTACATCAAGCCACCCATAACTCAAGTAGCATATGGTTAATTGAAAAGGTCAAGAGCCATGCATGCAGCTCAGGACCTGTTCCTTATGTTTGAGACTCATTTTGAGAACTTAACGTCAGTAAATAACTGACTAATAGTCAGCAACATGTCACCCACCAACTCGCTTCCTCGTTGGAAACACTGTTGTACACGACATGGATCCTTCAAACAGATGCCAGCTCCTGATTTCTACTGTAAGCTGAACTCTGGCATGTTTAATGCTGCAACCTCATGAGTATTATCTTTCAAAACATCCTGATTAAAATGATTCATTGTGGGGAAGATACCATGACAGGAACAATTCTTTTCTAAGCCAAAATATATTTTTTCATATCTCTCTGCATTATAAGTACCACAGAGGTTTGATGGGCAGAAGGAAGAAAAAGGCATAGAAAATAAGAACTAAATTAAAGTCAGAGCTCAGGGTCTATCAGCTTACTGGCTGTGTAATTCTGCCTGGATTTAAGTTCTGAAATATTACATGAGAGGTATAATACAGAGGTAAATATGACAGACAACAGTGCCCAATGTTCGTCCAGTGCTGGACAGAGACCTCTGCATATCATAATCATCTTTAATACCAAATAATCTTTCAATCAAACTTTAATCCGGGTGTCAAATCTCTAATCTTAGGTCTCAGATCTTTTTTTGTATTCCAGATGTAGTTACAGCTTTTAATCTTTCCACTGATATTACAGGATCTGACAAGAGGAGGATGGGATAGTTTACAAAAAATATGAAAAGAGCCCAGAGCAAACAGATCATCTATGCTGTATTAGAACTGTTTAGAAATAAGATCCATGGTGTTAGTGCTCTTAGGATGTTAAGTCTTTTATCATAGCCGCTGCACCCCTGGTGCACAATAATCACTTGTTTTTCATGTGTTGCTTTGGCTCTATAATTCACTTCAAACCAGATACAGTAAGCACAGATCAGAAGACAATTATTACCACATCTGTCAGGTGGAGATGGATGCTAAAATAATTCAGCAACATTTTGGTAAATATTAATACTGACTGATGCCACAGCTAGTAGGTTATTCAAAACAAGGGCAACTAGAGAAAAGTAAAACAACATGACAAAATAACAACAGAAATGATTGATAACTGGACTAAAGGCTTTGTTGACTTCATGCAATTTGTTGACAATGAGAAAAACTTGGAACCACAGCAGCCTCATCCATTAAATGCTCGACTACATCTACACTTACTAAACCATTCATACGTCTTGTAGCTCACACTCTAAACCACAGTAACTTGCGCTGAGATGCTATTTAAATATGACCACATTCCTGTCTTATCAAACTCTGTCTTCACAACAGTATTCCCGTATCTCCTGAATAAACATCTTTTAAGTGCAGGCATGGAAAATGTACTTTCTAAGACAAGGTACTGCTTACCGTTGTGCTGGTAAATTTACTGAAAACAAAAATTACACCTGAGAAGAGAGAAAAAAATGTTGGAGGAAGAAAAAAGGTTAAACTTTAACAGAAATCTAAAATGCAAAATAACTAAATAAATAAAAAAACATCATTCATATTTTGATTGAATTAAAAATGTCTGGAGAGGTGGAATGATTAGATAAAGCAGTAGTATGTTATAAAATTAATTCATTTTGAACCTATGTGCTTTCTCATAACATTCCAGCTTGTGTTCAGTGGTCCTACTGTCATAAATTTGGAAATTCTTAGTAATCTTATGCAGATACATACATTGTCCCTTCAAATAAAAATCTCAAAGTTGACAAAGTTCTCATTACAGAACGAGGAGGTCTGTTTTGATTCTGCAGGCTTGCTGAGGTTGTCTAACTTCTGCTTTGAGGGTCGCTAAAGTTTGTTGGTTTCGATTCCAGTATGAACGTTTCCTTCAGCATAACTGCTAAGGTTCTCCTATTTCTCCCTCCATGGTCCGGACCAGGACGTAAAGCTCAGCAAGGCCGACTACAGATGCAGCGATCACAGCTGATATCACTCGCTGGACAACAAAGAAGAAACAAATAAACAAAGACAAAGTTAGGTATCTCACATACAGCTTCATGGGGATTTACATCTTTAACACTGGAACTTGTTTGCTTATGTTGTAAATGGTTTCAATGACATACAAATGAACAAAATAACAAAAGCACCATTCAGTATACTGCAATCCAAAGATTATATCAACGCCTCTATGACTCAGTGCTGACATTATTATAAAGGTGCAATTTATTACATGGCCGTTTTATTAGACTTCACAGGATTAAACTGGTAACAAAGCGGCATCTCAACGTGCACTACAGTCAAAGGTTTGGACACACTTTCCCATTCAATTCAGTGGGAAAGTGTTTACAATCTTTTGACTGGTAGCGTAGATAAAATGAAATGTTCGCTTACTGCTGCGGTCTCAGTGAACAGATATTGACTACCCATGTAGGAACAGGCAAAAGTTGCCACCACTGTAACCAGGAAGTTGAATATGGTGACCACCACAGCTTTGACAGATCGTACTGGAGAAAGAGAGGGGAAAACAAGTTCGCTGTCAATGTGATGCAACAAAGTTCAGCTTCTGTTTCCTGGGATTTTGATAGTCTGGCAAACCAAGGACACTAAATAAATGTAGATGATGTTAAATTTGTACAGGTGACTAACCTTGCCGTCCAAAATCTGCTAGTGTTCCATTCCGGTTGATTTCCTAAAGTCAAAGAAAGAGATTTATTACACAGTAAAACATGGGCAAATATTTACTGTGGTTGGCAGGAAACCTGGGCTGCCACAAATAACAGAACTGCACGTTCCTCTGGAATGTAGTCAGGGTATGCTCCTTCATCAAACTCTACATACGACAGTTCCCCTAACTGCACCCACATTTCCCTCACATGCGCATTTCCCTTGAGTTTAAGTCCTGCCCATGAAAGATGCAAGGATAAACTGTGAGGAGAGAGGAACTGAGGAAACATATTTTAACTGACATGAGACATCCTTTTCTCTGAGCCTTATGTGAAATGTTCAATCACAAACAGGTTTCCAATAACAGACTTCCATGATGGATATTCTTGTGTATCCTCGGTTATAGCTCCTCCAGGCAGCCTCATTACTCCTCGCTGCTCTCTCCTAAGAGCAGAAATAAAAGTTCTGGGACATCCTTTATCACGGTGGACCGGAATGACCTCCAGGTCGAGCAAAAATTGAGGAACAATAAAATAAGGGAATCGGGATTCACCATGACTTGCTTTGAATGGCTTTGTGCTGCTGTGATCTTGAATATCCTCACAGTGTTATTAGCTCAAGAAATGTAATTATGTGTATCTTAATCTGAAACAGTGGCATTAATAAAAACCTGTGAAATAAAGCGACTTCTGGTACCTGTCCCTATAATGAAAAATACAATAGCTCATATTTTCTTGTTTTAAGGCTGTAGTAGGGGTCGCACATGATTAAAAAATAGACGAGCTTTTATAGTGCAGTCAAGACAGTGATAATACTTCTACACACATAATACATTGTATATCTATTTGTTTCTCATAGACTAGCCCATAGGGATGCTTGCAAGATGTTTTACCTGAGCATTGACATTACGTGTGATCCTGTTGTACTCCTCATTGGCTAGTTTGGCTTTGATCTTCTCCAGTCGTGTAACTAGCTCTGGGTTCTGCAGTAAAACAAAAACATCTCATTTTAGTTTTACCTGTTTCCAGCTGTGTACCTGATGACACTGGACTTGTTTTTATCTTAAGCTATTTTACTTTCACTCTCATGTGTTTAATTGCAGGATAATACAACACTCATATCATATGAGTAACAGTTTGAACATGGATTATACAGTTAAATGTGACAACATTTAAATGTTTTTGCATTAGGATTTTTTTTAGACGTCATCATAATGTCATGTGTTTATTGAGTACTACAATACAATTAAGATTACAACTACATTAATATTTTACAGCATTTTACAAATAAAAAGTCAAAATGTTAAGGTGGACCATGCACCTCCCAAAAATCTTTCGGACACGGGCCAAACGAAAAATACTAATAGAAAAGATATAAAGCCTACTTGTTTTAAATAACTAATTATTATTTACATTTGGGAATGTAGCTGTTTTAAAGCCTCAAAACTGAAGTAGATGCTTTTTCCCAGTTGGCATGAAGCTCGTCTCTCTCTTGCTTCTTACATGCTGTGAATGCAGCATAACACCAAGCGATGAGTTGGAGGTTAACAGACATAACATGAGAAACTTGCATAACTTCACTTACTCTAGGAGGCTTTACAACTTCAGGCAGGTGCAGGACGCTGTCCTCCAACAACTCATGCAGGTAGAAAGGATGCCCTGGAGAAAAACAGATATGAGAAAATGTTACATTGCATTTTAACAACACATATCTCTGGCATGGCTACAGCTTAAATGATTAAACACTGCACTTAAGTGACACAATTATAAAACTGCTGGAAAATAACAATGAGTGTTTCACATAATTCACACCCAGTTTTAATGATTTTCTTTAATCGGAAACGTTTAACCAACTTCCATTAAGGTCAAATACTCAAAATGTTAGTAAATATTTTATTATTACACTTAATGTCTAAACATTAACATAGTTGTGTGTACAATTAAACTGCGGCTAAACTGGACCACAAGCACCTACTCCACTTGACCTTTAGAAAACATTACCATTAGCTACCTTATTGAAACATGTGAAACACCACATTACCTTCTTCTTGAAGGTATTTCTTGAGTTTTCTCGCTGTACTGAAGGGCAGGGTCGTTGGTTCTGGGTTTTCAAGAATTTTCTCCAGTTCTTCTCTCAGTCGTCGAGGCAGAGATGACACTGTCTTTTCCAATAACTCTGTCACCTTACTTCTGAATTTATCTCCGACGACAAATGACGAGGCCATGGTTTTATTCCAAATGTCTCAGACGAGGAAGTCTGGTTTTATGCGATGTAGCTATCTAAACACAACTATTTACAGACTTGTTCACAGTGAAACAAGACCTGCCAATGTATATATGCTATCAAGGAAAGGGGCCAAAACATTTAAATCTGTTTTAAGTAGGTAGTCATTGAAATTTAGTGTTTAACAGCTAACAAGAGCACTAAGTAGGCCGCCATATTGTTTACCTTGTGACACGATGACGTATTAGCTCACATGGCCAACTTTGCAAAATATATTATTTCAATTCTGCATTTTAAAACCGTCTAGAACGTAATAATTTTTGTAAAATATTAATCTTTATTGATACAATAATGTTTTGTTACATGTTGAATTTAATGTTTCTACAGCTCACACGTGCTCGTTTGATGCCTTCACGGATTCCCCCTAAGATCCGAAAGGCAAAACTACAGGACTGTCAATCTGAATATGCATTAATGTTTTGATGAAAAGCAACAAACGAACGCACCAACAAACAAAGAAACAAAGAAAGAAACACATATATGCATGCGTACGTACATTGCGTATACATTTAAACAAAAGTACTGTCTGTAACTCGTTGTTTCACTTATAGTCCACACAACATAGCAACACTTTAGAACTTCAACCAAGTTGCTATCTTAATTTTAGATTATTGTCTGACTTTCTTTTTACACTAAAGGGATTAAAAAACGAAATTTTAAACTCTTAAGTTCTCATAATTACGATTCTGCAGCAGTCACATGAAAGCGGCATCAGTATCTTGCTGTACATATCCATGTGAACGTGCGAGGCCAGGAAAGATGGCGGTTTGTGCGTTACGCCGAGGTTTGCTGAGCACTGTCAGTAAATACAACAAGAAACACACACAGAGAATACTGAGTGCCATTGACACCACCAGCAGGTTTGAGGTGTACAGACTGCGATTACTATGCCGAGCCTGCGGACTGTCCGCCGGCGGCCAGCAGAGGAGGTTAATGTCGTCACGGTAAGAGACGCTGCCAGTGTCCTCTTCTGTCAATGCTAACATGCTAAAGACTTTAGTTAAGGTCTCCAAGATGGCACCCATAAAAACAGTGGCCACGTTGTTGTTGTGGGGACAGATGTCCAGAGGTGGAGCCTGCATTGTAAGATGTCGTGCAATTATGAGCTGACGATTAGGAGCAGAAAATTAGTAAAGTACGCTTGTTCTCTGCTGCTCTTTAGCTAGCATGGTGCTGTAACTAGCCAGCGTGGGTTGCGAAATACTGTGGGACAGTCTCCAACTTGCTGACTCAATACATTTTAATTTAAATCACAGGTATGAAAAGCAAAACACCCACTGTGGACGACTTGTATAATCATTTGCCACATAAGTGGTAATAACATTATTTGTATTTACATGCTGCCACTATAGCTTCAACTAATTATAACTGTTAGATTCAAATTAATAGATTTCAGAGTTAAACGCCTCTGAAACCTGCAGTGGCACAGATCCTCTGGTTAGGATTGTGGAAATGTTAATCTTTCTGTCAGAATTTACCAGTTTTACCCATCTGGCTTGCTTGGAGTTTGTTAAGTGGTATTTAAAGGAGGAGAAGATTCTCTGGTCTGATGAGACAAAACCGGATCCCTGTAGGGAGGTCTGATTATGGCAGTTCATAGATGTTTTCCCTTTAGTCTGATGCAGCTTGAGAGTATCTGCCAGTAAGAATGGGATAAACTGATCTTCAGATCTTATAAGGACCTAATCAAGAACACTCAAAGCTTTAACTGATGACAAAAGGACTTCTACAGTGCACTCAGCTAAGGGTTCTGCTGCCTGCCAGTGACCTACCTTCACCCCTCCAGGACAAGAGGGAAAGGGTGAAGTGATATAGATAGTTCTGTAATTATTGGCAGAGTGAGTTGTTGGCTGAGGCGTGTTCCAGAGGTTGCAATAGGTTGGCTATATTTAGGACTGGTTCTCTGTGACCATAGTGTATTGACATTTCTCAGATTGTTCCTGCGGTAGGGAACACACTGCTGGAGAGCTGCTGTGGCCCTGATGCTCAGATCTTTAGGATGCATTGAAAGTGTTAATTTAAAATCACTTTACAAACTATTCCATGTGTTTGGAGTAGCACACTGTGATTATTTAACATCCTATAAACGCATATGTAGAATAATATAATGCTGCATTCAGGACATGTTGGAGCTCTTGGTCCTTTTCAGATGAAATGCAGTAAGACAGAAATCCAAGAAGGACAACTGTATGCTCTGTCATGTTCATTCAACATGTTTACAAGCCTCAGAGAAACCTCTGCAGGATTTTAGCTGTGCAATGGAGCAGTGTTTTCATGAGCAGGTCTCCATTTTATTGGTGTTGTGCATTCACACCAGGATACACATGCGGGCAGTGCAATACTCTCACTTCTCATTCTGCTGATGTTGGGAGTTATGCACCAATCAGCACAGTAAACAGACTGCTAGCAAGGAAATATGGATGTGAAAGACGCACAATAGTAAATATTCTGATAAAATAAACTTTCCAGATGTTTTATGAGCAAGGAAACACATTCAACATGAAAACACAGAATCAAAGCAGAACACCCATGATACTAAAGTGAGCTGAAACCAACCTGCTGTGTAACGTTAAATCCCCTTGTCCATGTATCCACCTAATTAATCCCCACTCTTCATCTCTGTTGTGAAGAGTAGCCTTGCAGGGACCTCAGAAGTAGCTGTTGTTACCAGTTGCAATATGAACTGTATGTCTGTGTGTGTTTGACATCCAACAAGTGATGTTTTATTAACTCTGGTTAAATCTGTGATTGATATTGCAACTGAAGGAAAGCAGCAGGATTTTCCTTCCTGTAGAGATGAATCATCTTTATTTCCTGTTGTGGTTCCTCAGGGACTTTCAGGTTGTTTGCATTTGTCCATATATGATGTTGTTTTGATCCCATCCTCATGTTTGTACACTGTGTAGACCAATATGTTACTGTTCCTTTGCTTTTGTTTTGATGTCTAAAGGGTCCGGTGTGTAATGGTGTTTGCCTGTATTTGGCAGGAACAGGGCTGAAGGGAAGATTTTGGAGACAGTGGGAGTGTTTGAGGCTGTGAAGCAACATGGCAAATATGAAACCGGGCAGGTAAGATTCTCACACGCACATTAAGGCACATGGTTAGTCTAGCTGAAGTGCATTCTCCCTCATTAGCAAAAAATTTAGGTGAATTTAAGACTCATTTTTTGACATTACCAAGTCATCCTCTCCACTGTGTGGTGCTCTCTTATATTGTTGTGAAAACGCATTTGCCTGATGCTGTCAAGTGACTTTATTCCCATCTAATTTATGCTTCATTAAACCTCCTGCTTATATATTCTTACATCAACTTAACCCTTTTCTCCCTGCTGCTGTGCTCTCCTCAGCTGTTTCTCCACAGTGTGTTTGGCTACAGAGGCATTGTCTTGTTTCCCTGGCATGCCCGACTTTATGACAGAGACATCACCCCTCCTATGTCTGACAGGTAAACCTCCATCTCTGGCTGCCGACTGCACTATTATCGGTTTAGTTTGTCGGTGAGACTTTTGTACCTGAGATCTGTTGTATCTTACTTTCTCTCTTCAGTAAACCTGAGCCCCCAGGAGCACATGGGTCCAAGGAGGTGAAGGGGAAGACTCACACCTACTACCAAGTCCTGATTGACACCAGGGACTGTCCTCACATAGTAAGTTACTGTATGTTTTACCTTTAGGACCACCAACTGCTACCTTACATATGTCTTTATTGCCCCTAGAGATACTGTATATTAAAGAGCCCTTGGCATGCTTTTCTGACTTATCTACAATGTTAAATCAGCAGATCAACACTGGATTCCTGCATTATGCCGTTATGTTTAAAGCATTACACGTCTCTTTTCATCGGTACATATACTGTTGTTTACCTATCTATGGAGGATAAATTCAAATTAATTAATGCTGTGGCAGTTCATCGTGCTGTTCACTTTCATATTCTGGCTTTAACACGTCAGATAGGATCAGAGGTATTGTCTTTGTCGAAAACTTAGCTCATGTGTCAGTCTTTTTGTTTTATGTGTTGTCATAGCTTCCTAACTGGCAACAAGAGTGGTGCATGCTCACAAACTATCCTCTTGTTTTCAGGAGGAGGTTCTTCTTGTGATACTGAGTTGTATTGTTCTGAAATAATCACAGATTGTTTGGAAGTTTGATGAATGCAAAGCTAATCTAGAGATACCCAAGTTAAAAAATTAAATGGCTGTGAACGAGCATGCCATGGGCTCTTTAAAGCAAGCGGACATGGTGTGTTTTTTTATTTTTATTTTTTGATTGTGTACAATATGTTAACTCACACTATACAGCCCTCCTGCACGGCCTGAATCACATCCTGGCACAATGCAGGTGCTCACAATGTATGTGTAAACAGAGCCACTAATGTGTGTTCACTAACAATTCCAATAAATTGGAAAACTTTAGTGACAAAGCACAAAGCCACCATTGTGGTAGAATCTATCTCATTAGTGTGTGTTATGTCTGTCAGTCTCAGAGATCCCAAACAGAGGCAGTGACGTTTCTGGCCAACCATGATGACAGCAGAGCCCTGTACGCCATCCCAGGTATGCATCTGTACACAGACTGCTCAGGATGCCCAGACTTCACTGATACACCACTAACGTGTACCATTAGTGGGGTGATTATGTCTGTTTTCTGATTTATTTCTAATGGAGCTTTCTTGTTAAAGTACAATGTCCAGCTCAGAAACTGGTTTGTCTGTTCCAGTCAGGATCAGATCAGGACAAAACATTCAGATTCTTAGCGTTACATTTGACTGTCAGGCTGAATTTGAATTTGATTCTAGCAGCAGTTCAGCCTCGGTAGAATATAAAACTTCTCATTTGTAATGGTGATAACCGTCTTGTCTTATCCCATGTTACTGTGTATCTTCAGGTTTGGACTATGTGAGCCATGAAGACATTCTGCCCTACAACTCCACAGAGCAGGTCCCCATCCAGCACGAGCTGTTTGAGCGCTTCCTCATGTACAACCCTACCAAAAGTAAACACTCTTCTACAGTCTCCATTTCAGCTTCTAACACCAGTCTTCATGCAAACCTGTAACAATGTCCAGAAATTGACTTCAGTGACTATGCATACACAGTATACATACAGCTATGTACTCTCTATAGCACATAGTGAATGTATTCTTCCAGCTGTTCGTTCAGTGTTTCCTGTGCCACTGGCTGCCACACAACCCCACACTTGGGAAGATGCTCTTTCCATCAAACACTGATCCTTTTTCCTCCTTTTGAAATGTGGTTGCAGGTCAGTTTTCCTCCTGTAGACCCAGTCTGCATAACAGCGCTGCACAGTGGAATGATGCACCCCCACTCCTGTGGCAGCTACACCTTCCTGCAGCTCTGTTGCAGTAATAGGGGTTATGCTTTCCCCTTCTACCCAGCAGACATGGAGTTCAATATGACAATTTTCTTGGCCTTCTAGATCTTGTCTTGATTTTCACTGTTCCCCTCAATTACATTTCAGACAATGGAAATTTCAAGCTGGAAGTGCTATGATATCTTTCTATGCTTTGTGGGCATCAATTGGCTTCATACAGATCTTCCACACAAGTTTAGGTGTTGTTAATTTCCATAACCTAACCGTTGTTGATAGCTGTGGTTGGTGACTGTGTAACCGATTGTTTTTTTGTTTTTTTAGCTACCATCACCACCCACCTGATTCTGTTTCCCTGACAGACATCAAAACATATCTGCTATAGGCATGCATGCAGAAAAGAGAGAAACCACTGGTTTCACTAAACATGTTTTGTCCTCTGCTGTAGCTCCTCCATTCACAGCCAGAGACACCCTGAAGGCATGGCAGGAGAAGAACCACCCCTGGCTGGAGCTCTCAGACGTCCACAGGGAAACCACCGAGAGCATCCGAGTCACTGTCATCCCCTTCTACATGGGCGTGAGGGTAAATGAATGATACTTAAAAAAATACAGATAGATAACAAATTAAAGAGGAAGAACACCTAAAGTGTCTTAGCAAGGTGCTGGTCCATGACAGGCCTCCAGAACAGTTTTCGTGGCCCATGTTATAGGTTCTCCAGGTGTGTGAAAGTCTGCTGGACTGATGACCAGCACTCTTTAAAACACATTTCCACATTTAGTGTTTTGATGATGGTGGTTGTAAGCACCATCTAATGCTAGTCATTCTAAAGTCATTTTCATTCTCATCAGAACATGAAATTAGCCTGTGTCCTGTACGAATCCGTTTACTTTCTTTATTCAGGATTTTCCTACAATTTGTCAGCAGTCTGTACATCTGTCTTCTTTAAGCACATCTTGAACTACGCCAGCTTGAAACCTGTCTACATTGCATTGGTTGTATTTGGGTCTGCCAGTCAAGACTCTAGCCTTTTATATTTTGATTGTGTACAACAAGCCATCTCTAGTCCATTTAAATACTAATGGAAATACTTTCTTGTTCTCAGGAGGCCCAGAACTCCCATGTTTACTGGGTGAGTAGCAGATTTTTGATCTGTGGGGAACATTGTGTGGAATGGCCTAACATGACGGTCACGGTTTGAAATGAGCATCAGCTTGCAGCGGATATACTTCATGATAATTATTAACCTAGCCTGTGCCAGCAGTGTGGTTCACATGTTTATGTGTGTGTGTTGTCTTATGTAGTGGCGATACTGTATCCGTCTGGAGAACATGGGCAATGATGTGGTTCAGCTGAGGGAGAGGCACTGGAGGATCTTCAGTCTGTCAGGAACACTGGAGACGGTCAGAGGACGAGGGGTCGTAGGCAGGGTCAGTATACATGTGTGCATCTAACGGTGTCTGGAGATAGTATCAATGTACCTTTGTTAGCAAGTCAATTATACATACACATACATATATATCTTAGCTTTTATCTCTTTGTGTGTCATCTCAGGAGCCAGTGTTGTCTAAAGAGCAGCCGGCCTTCCAGTACAGCAGCCATGTGTCTCTACAAGCCCCCAGTGGTCATATGTGGTGAATTTGCTCATTCATACATCAGTTTACTGTTGAACATGTCACATGTGCTACATCTTCCAAGTGGTTAACTAACTAGATTTGCTTGTCATGTGATTTTAAGTATTTTCATTGAGCAAAATATTCCTTCATCTTTTTTTCTTTTCTAACCTACTGTCTGAAATATCAGGCTTAGTCACTCGGTGCTGTTATTTGTGTCTAGGGGGACATTTCGTATTGAAAGGACTGATGGCTCCCACTTTGATGTTCGCATTCCTCCTTTCTCCCTGGAGAGCAACAAAGACGACAAAGTGCCTCCCGCTGGCTACACATTCTGAAAGTAGTCACCTCCGACCTGCAGGCCCCAGACATGCTCTGTTCTGGATGTTCCTGGGTTGTCTAGAGTTACCCTTTCTCTGTACCATTTCTTCAGCCTTCAGCGTAGGACTAGCATGAGTCAGGTTATGCAAACAGAAAATACAGTGTTTTCTAGAGCATCCAAATGCAGGCCCACCCATCCCTTCTTTCTGTCAGAGTGCAGTCGGCAGTGTTATGTCATACAAGGTAGCAAATCAATACATCTTCATTCCTCTTGTGTTTGAAGAAACATGCACCAGGGAGGGAAGTTACTGTTGCCAGGCAGAGCTGGACATGTTCCTGATCCAACAGCTAAATATTTACCAGGTGGTTTTTCTGGTGGGAGTACTTCCTGCT